ACAATATTCACATGATCTCACATTTCAAAGTTAAAATATGATTAAAAATTGCAACTCAACATTGTAATGATATAACAATAACTAAATAAATTTTATTACTACTAATTTTAATTATTTAAAATGGAATTATTGTAAATATTAATTAGATAATATGAGGCAATTTCAATCAATTATTTTGTCATACATATCCAACTCTTCAAAGTTAAGAAGTAACCTTTTCTCAACACTTATACATGTATACTTATAACAACACTTATACTATTTGTCATACTTGCCACAGTTATCTTATTATATGGAGTGATTTAAATACACTAAATACTCCGTGCTGAAATATGAGCGTGTCTTATATGTCCGTGCATCTTAAATGCCATAAGATATGGTAAATTTAAACTGGCAACATAAAAAGTGAGAAATTCATTTTGCTACATAAATCTTGAATATATAATTTTGTTAATTTTAGATAATGCTCCTGATCACCAGCTAAACTAGATTACATGTGTCAAAATCCTATTCGAACATTTAAGACAAGATAATTTCAACCTAGAAGATCCAGAATTTCACTGTGATTATAGAAATGTGCTCTCATAAAAATACAGCAAGATGATAACTCCTTTTCAAATAAAATAATGAATAATATGCTATGGCACAAATGAAAGTTATAGCACTTAATTACAAACCTATCTAAACTGCCTGGTGATATAAATAGTGTAAAATGGTCAGCACATGTGGTGTCCTTGACACAGCAATAATGTAAACATTGGGAAACACATACATGTTTACAAGGTTGAATGTTAAAATAATTTTGTTATCTTATTTAATTATAAAATTAGATTTTTTGATGAATAGTTTTAAACGTGTGTAAATCAGTTGTTATTTAGACATCATTCATTAATGAAAAGTTTACATACATATTGTTACATGCAGATTTGTCTGAAATTATTATAAATATGAATTTTCTTAAAAAATATATTAGGATCAAGAAGCATATTGATGATGTGATTCATTGTAAAAATTGTTAGTGTTCTGCAGGAATCGTGCTTGTATAGAATATAAATTATATATTTAAAATGACCAGAAATTACTAATCGTATTGTCATTGGCCTGCTTATTTGCTTTTGTATATGGCAATGTGACGGAAGGTCAATCTGCTGAGAGGGAATTCCTCCTGGGAGGACTTTCTATGGGAAACTGGTCCTTATTTAGGTGTCACAAATGTGAAGAAAATCCAGAAAACTCCATGTGGTCATCCTGTTGGCAAGGTGCAAACACACGATCAACTACCAGTGTTCAATGGTTTTATCCACTCTGCCACTGGTGTGCTATTGTCATGGCCTTATTTAATTTAAGTCAATAATACTTTTCAAATTCTAAATTTGAAGAGCCAAGTAAAATCTACAAGTTTGTTATAATTATATACAAATTTAAATTAACAATATTTAATTT